TAAACCAATAAACCAATAAACCAATAAACCAATAAATCAATAGATCAATAGATCAATAGATCAATAGATCAATAGATCAATAGATCAATAGATCAATAGATCAATAGATCAATAGATCAATAGATCAATAGATCAATAGATCAATAGATCAATAGATCAATAGATCAATAGATCAATAGATCAATAGATCAATAGATCAATAGATCAATAGATCAATAGATCAATGATCAATAGATCAATAGATCAATAGATCAATAGATCAATAGATCAATAGATCAATAGATCAATAGATCAATAGATCAATAGATCAATAGATCAATAGATCAATAGATCAATAGATCAATAGATCAATAGATCAATAGATCAGTAGATCAATAAATCAATAAATCAATAAATCAATAAATCAATAAATCAATAAATCAATAAATCAATAAATCAATAAATCAATAAATCAATAAATCAATAAATCAATAGATCAATAAATCAATAGATCAATAGATCAATAGATCAATAGATCAATAGATCAATAGATCAATAGATCAATAGATCAATAGATCAATAGATCAATAGATCAATAGATCAATAGATCAATAGATCAGTAGATCAATAAATCAATAAATCAATAAATCAATAAATCAATAAATCAATAAATCAATAAATCAATAAATCAATAAATCAATAAATCAATAAATCAATAAATCAATAAATAAATAAAGAAATAAATATATAAATATATAAATATATAAATATATAAATATATAAATAAATAAATAAATAAATATATAAATAAATATATAAATATATAAATATATAAATATATGAATAAATAAATAAATAAATGGCCTTTATTGTCAAAAAATTTTTCAATTTGTAGACAAAGGTAAACAAAACAAACAAAGTAAACAACAAGGTACACAAACAAACAAACAAAAGATAATATAAAACATTATAGAAATAATATTGTCAGTCTTAGTGTTTAATATAAACATTTATAAATGTTTATAATGTCAAAGAACAAGAAAAATAAAAATAATATTCAAAAATATTTAGTTAGTTTAGAGTAAATATAAATATCAATGACCTCTAAATAAATTTATTTCGATGTCATCAGTAAATATAGCAATAGCAAACATTAGACCAGTGTTTACAAGATCAAATTCGATTTTCAAAATATAATTCATTTACGGCGTAGAAAGCCTTGTCTAGTAAATAAGAGTTCAATGCTTTGCGAAATGAAGAAAATGATGTTATGGATTTGATTTCTTTTTTGAAATGGCAGGTGATTGTGCATTTTTTTTTTTCGTGTTGTATAATATTGAACTTTTAACTAACTCTGAGCATGGGGTAGGTAGATAGAGATCTCGCTCCGCGTTCCTGAGTGGATAAGTGTGAGATGGCCTTTCTTGAGAAGCTGATACATGCTTATATTGTATTAGGCAAACGGATTCAAATATAAATAAGGAAGGAAGATTCAATATATTTAATTTTTTAAAAAAGTCCTGGCAATGAGTTCTGCTGTTTAGTCCCAGTGAATATCGAACAGCTCTCTTCTGGAGCTTGAAAATGCGGTCAAATTGAGTCGCACAACACGTACCCCAGAATGGAAGGGCATACCTGAGGTGCGACTCAAAAAGTGCATAATAAACAGTTCTAGCCACTGACAAGTTAAGCTCCTTAGAAACAGATCTTAATGCAAAACAGGCAAAGCTTAATTTTTTCGACAAAGCGTCGATATGCATGTCCCATTTCAGAGAATTGTCTACAACAATCCCTAAGAATTTTACAGATTTTACGATGTCAATGGTTGTGTTGCTAAGTACAAAAGGCTGCAGCGAGTTTTTATACGACAAAGCTTTAGTTTTAGAAATGTTGAGACTCAGGAGGTTCGAATCGCACCATGATTTAATGGTGATTAAGTCATTTGATATAATCCTATGAAGTGCCGTGACGTCCTTGCTACTCCAAGTGAAGCTAGTGTCGTCCGCAAAAAGACATATTTTGCCACTGATGTTTATGTTAGTAATGTCGTTAATAAAAAGAAGAAACAAAATAAGGCCTAGTACTGAGCCTTGTGGTACTCCACATTCTATTGGCTTGTTAGAAGACAACGTGGTATCCACCCTCACAAGTTGACTTCTGTTGCTCAGACACATATGAGGCTTTGGGCCTTAAGCTAAACATCGATAAAACCAAAACCACGTGCACTCCCCCGGAAGATCATAACAATGCTATAAAAATAGGAGAAGAACTATTGGAATATGTAGCGGAATTTAATTACCTCGGCAGTTTGATTTGACTCTGAAATTCAGCACAGGATTATCAGCGCCTCAAGAGCATTCTGGAAATTAAAAGACAGGGTTTTCTACAATCATGACTTGAGTACAAAAACGAAACTTGCAGTGTACCGAGCAATTATAATCCCCACCATGTTATATGGGAGCGAAACCTGGGTGCCGTACCGCCAACACATGAACGCATTAAACAAGTTGCAACAGAGATACCTTAGACATCTCTTAAGAATCCGGTGATTCCTTCATGTCCCAAACGTATCGGTCCTTGACAAAGCTAACTGCGAGAGTTTTAAAGTCATGGTTACAAAATCCCGCTTAAGATGGGCTGGTCACGTATGCAGAATGCAAGAAAACCGCATACCAAAATATCTGCTTTACGGTGAGCTTGTAGACGGTAAGAGGAGGCCGGGTGGACAACTCAAAAGGTACAAGGACATTTTCCATTTTCCACGAAAACTTAAAGCGGATTAACATGCAGAATGAGTGGGAAGAAGCAGTTCACAATAGAGCTCAATGGAGAAGAATTATAAACTCAGTTAACAGCGACAACCAAAAAGTAAAGAGGCAACAAAGCAATGAGATTTTTGAATGTCCGGAGTGCGGTAGGCAAATAACATCATGTATCGGGCTTTTCAGTCACAGAAAAGCTCATGAAAGAAAACGCCTTGCGTGACCATCTGCTGAGGCGTGTCGAATACTCATCGGCGAGTAATGGCAGTATGTATGCATTTAGTACCCCTTTGTAAAATAGAAAGAAAGAATACCACTTTTTTTAGAAACGGTACCACTTTCACAGTGAATATGATTTCCAATGACTAGAATATTCAAAAAAAATCATTTTATATTGAAAGTACGGTACTGCACTGAGTAGAAACTCTGCAATATGTCTAGCGTTATCGAAATTTTCTGACAGCAATAGTAATTTAAAACAGATTCCGTTAATTGAAAATGATGCTGGTACGATGATTTCTCAAAAGCTTAGGACCGTCTTCCTTGTTTCTTTTCTATTATTAGTCGCCTCTCCACGCACAACAAGCTCCTTTCAGAAGATTTATCAGTTTATTGTGTGATACGTCTCACATTATCACCGCTTAATTCGTTTGTACACGATTTATGAATGGGATTTAAACAGATTTTTTTATTAGAAGTTTTGTAAAGGTCAAAGAGAGGTTTATTTTAATTTTTAGTGAAGATTGTTTATAATTTTTAATTCGCCTTATCTGAGATATTGACACAGTGTTGATTTATTAATAAATAAATTTAGTTTGTATAAAAAATGTTGTAGAAATAATGTTAGTTAAGTTAATTATATTAATTTGAAAAAATTTTTTGCTTTTGATTAAATCGGTGTGAGAAGTGAATTTTATTAACATTTGAAATTGTCACAAAACAAAGCGATGCGTTGCTTTTTGCACTATTAAAAACTAAAATACTTTCTAAGATTCTATACTAAGATTATATCATTGCGATCATCGAAACTACCTGAAATACAGAGCAAAAATTTCTGATTTCTGCCATACCGAGCGCTGCGATCGAAATTTTTAAAATCAACTGAAATGCACCAAACCTATACAAATTTGTTCACCACATACGACACTACTACGGAGTATTGTAGCTAAACGATTAGATTTTTACATATTGTAAGTTTTGGGCTCGTTGAAGGATAATTAGAGATACAATTTAAAAATATTTTTATAAGATACAGTGTCCCAAATAAAAAATATCAAAGTTGTATTTAAAATGGAACACCCTGTATATTATTAAAGTACAAAAGTACAAAAATATATTATTAAACTGATATAATATTATTAGTAATGTTTGAAATTGATTAAAAACTTATTTGTAATGTTTTAAGAAAAGAGTATGTTCTATTCGGAGTAAAAATGTACTTTTTGTGCCTGCCTGTAACGTCGGAATAGCTTTACGATGGTCCTTCAAAGATACAGCATCGTCAAAAAAAAAGTATAATTTTTACTCCTAATAAAGCAATACACTATTACGCAAACAGTCAATTAATGTAGTTTGAGTACTGGAATCATGTTAATTGGTCCTCTTTAACAAATATTTAAACAGTTATTTTTATTTTTTAATTAAATAAACGAACTATATCGACAATATTAGCATTTGTACTCTTTAAAAATTTGTTACATCTTTAAAAATAATCTAAAATGTCAATATTCCATGGGTATATTGTTAAATGAGGTCTAAATTATAAGAAAATGCTTTTTTTACCTAAACTCGAAGAGATAGGCAAAAAATAATATAATAAAATTTGATAGACTATTAAATTGTGCATTTGATTCTCATAAAATATACAGGGTATTCCATTTAGATTAAACAAGTTATTGCCGTTTAAAGCTAATTATTTAAAATAAATTTTTAGACACAATAAATTTTTAGACACAATAAATAAATACAATACTCCGTGTCGTAAGTGGTGAACAACCCTGTATATTCTTTCACTGCACAGAATAGATGTATTGCAATGAAAAACGAACGCCTACATGTTGCCTAAAAAATAATGTAAATCGGCCCACGAGAATAAAATATATTGAACTTTAAAGGGGATGAAAATTTTAAGATGCCCATTTTTCGTCTCACCATATTTTCATTGATAACAAATATTAAACGGTGATCAATAAAAATATTTTATAATAGAAACAAGTATGTTTATTCTCAAATTAATTGACTTTTTTCTTTTCTTTTCAGCTACACCCCATTAGATGGCGCAATCGACTTCCCCATAAGGCTGATTCTACCAAATGTGTACTGCTTTACCTACCCTAGATTGTCGTGGTATTAGACTGGTTAAGAAACTTTTGTACTAAAACTCGTACGATTCTTTTTATACTGCCGTTTGCTTCGAACAGGGTTGAGACATCTTCGGTTAACAATGTACTCGAAATATGTACCATATTTCGTACATTTTTTTTTATTTTTCTAGTTATATTAATTTATTTAGTAATTATTTCGAGTACATTTGTTGCTGGGTGGTGTCGTCTTTTAGCTCTGGCTTTAAAAATACCTTGAAAATATTGACAATCCCCTTTCTTACAAAATAGTAATAATAGTAATAAACGAAAATAAAAAAATCGGTCTTGTTTCCAACGTGGTACTACAGTATATATAAGTATTATTAAGATAAATATCGATGTAAATATATAATATATTTAAATGAGCTGGAATTAATGGTTCATTAACAATACTAATATAAGACTTAATTCAATATGTACATACATATCCAGTTGGTATTGTCTTGTAAATAGTAATAAAGGTGAAAATGAATATATTAGATTATGAACAATATGTTGTTTTATTTAATTGAGTCCTTTTCTTTCTATTAGAGTCCTATTGTTCGAGCTCTCAAAGCCAAGAGCGGGATAATTAAACAAGTTTTGGGGGTTAAAAAATTAAGTAGCTATGTTGAATTGACAGAACGCATGTTATTTTTGATTTTTTCTACCTACTGAATTACACTAGTAATGTCTTTAGTTTTGTATCGAATTCTTTACTCTCTATTTTCTGTGAATATCAGCACAAAAACATAAACTTTTATATAGGGTCAAAATATTGTAATGAAACTACCGAAAACTTATATTCATTCGGATTTCTTGTTAGGAACATATAACAGTAATTATTGTTAGATCATCCCTATCTATAATTTGTTTATTTAATTTTAACTTAAAAATGCTGCATTAAACAGACATATCAAACTTTGATAATTATTATTTTTTGTCATGGTAACTATGATGTTATAGCGTAATTGTATTAAAAATATGAAGAAAAAATTGGAATAAATCGCAAAGTATTAAAAATAGGTATATGACATACTTAATAAAAATTGAAGGGTTTTGTAAATCTATCAGAAAAGAAGATAATATTATAGGATTTTTAAATTTAAAGTAGTTTAAATTCATTAAAATATTTTGAACACCCTGTAACATCTAACTAAAATATAAAAAATGCCTACACATATATGGCGGATTGATCTCTCCAAAAAAAATCCTTTATGGGTATTTCGCCACTGCACTGCAAGAAAAATCTACAAAATAAAATAGTTATTATTTGTAAACACTTCTGGCGTTAAACCTAAACGGACACTGCTTGTCAGAAGTTATGTTTACAGTAATAAAAATTTGCCTAACAAAGAAAAAATGCTCAACGTTTCGGAAAGTTTATCTCTTTCCGTCGTCGGAAGCAGAAAAATACAAAGAATAAAGAAAAAAAACTATTTAAAATATTTAAATTCAACTATTCGAGAACACTCATTAAACATATGTTCTAAAAAACATATACGTCTACAAGAAACCGTTGATGTTCTGTTAAAATCTAAAAATACCTAATAACTAAAATATCTTTATATATATCTTACCCATTCATCGCTATAAAAATCTCCCACCAAATTTTAGTAGTCCAACTTCAGAAATAATGACATTACTGACAATTTTTTATATCACACTGAAATCTAACATTTGTTTAAACAAATTAAAATATTTCAAAAAATATTAATTTTTTGTATATAACATTATATACAAAAAAGTTATAGAATTTTATGCAGAATCTAACAATAAAATAAAAAAGGATGTTACATTTAAAAAACATATGTTATATAACTCTGTAACAGACCAAGAAAACTTAAAATATTCATTCGTTTAAAGCTAGTAATTATTTAAAATTAATTTTTAGACACTCTGTATAAGGTAGTAAAGTTTTTATTATTGCAACACAATAACTGATCAATAAATAAACTTCAGTAAATATTTAGTAATAAAAACTTTGATACCCTCGGAGAAATGATGCCTTAAAATTTATTCTGCAATTTCACAAAATTGAAAATATTTCAAAAACGGTAAGGTTTAAGTGTAATAAACCTTAATCAGATTTACCTTTATTTTAAGCGTACAAACTAAACGTGTAATAATATATAGGGTGTTCCATTTAAAAAAATACAACTTTGTTATTTTTTATTTATTTGGGACACTCTGTATTTTGTAAAAATATTTTTAAATTGTAGCTCTAATAGTCCTTCAACGAATCCAAAACTTACAATTTGTAAAAATCTAGTCGTTTAGCTACAATACTTCGTGTCGTATGTGATGAACAACCCTGTATAAAGTTAGAGAAAAAAGAAGAAAATAAGAAGAAAAATTAGAGCAGTACAATAGTAAAAGTATTTTTTAAATGCTCTAACTTTGACAAATGTAAAACTTGAGTAGACACCATTTTTGAGAAAATTTCAGATCCTACCAGATTTAAATTAAATGACATAATTATTAAACCACCCTAACTTAAACAACCTGTATAAATAATCCTTTATTCCATTACCCCCACTTTAGACTTCTTAAACCCGATCGTTTATTATGTGTAAAATAAACTCCATCCAGCTCCATCATTGGCGTCTCCAGAACTTTTCTAAAACCATCCGAAGAACGGAGACACTGGGCAAATAACTGAAATTAGTTTGCTTTCTTACGAAGGACGATGGCTTTATTTCAGACCGTGCTGCAGATTCGTCCTGAATTAACAAACGATTTCCTTGGCAAACAGTTTTAATATCTCTGGTAAATATTTTAGATTAATTAGCGACAAAAATTAAGACTTGCTTGTTGAGAAAGCGAAGTTTTTAGAAGTAATGAATTGGTAATGAAATATTTATCTGAAAACAGTGGTAGTGACATTATTTAAGACTGTAGTTCTTCCGAAAAAGTGGCAAAATAAGCGTTCAACATTTAACGTTTTATGTAAATCTGGCTAGGTATTTTTACAAAAATGAAGAAGGAATTTAAAGATAGAGGATTATACTATATCTATATATATACTATTTGTTTTTCTATTTCAACACCACAGGATCAGACTTAGATTGTTTTTGTTCCACTTTTGCCCATATAAAATAAAAATTTTCTCTATATTATATCAACTGGGCTTTCTAGTTTATCTAAGGAAACTATAATTTTAATTCCGTAATTAAAATTTCTGGGTGGTAACGTGTATTAGGCACGTGTACGTGTGCAACGTAAACTCAACTGTATTATGACATGAATACTAAATTTATGAACAAGGAAGGGACATCTAGAGAAACAAAACTAAAAATATTTAAAAACGATATACCTACTGTGTAATTCTAGACATTTTGTTATAAATGTGGGTTTTAAAAAAATAAGCAAAAATCAAAATACTAGAGGCAAAGATAGATGAGTTAGGGTCATGAAAAAGAAAGGCAGAATAAGAAATATTGACATTAAGAAAAACCAACCAGGAAATAGGGTCAACACTAATTGTCAAAATGGTCAATTAATGGTCAAAAAACAAAAAAAAACAAAGAGGAAAATGATAATTTTAATAATACTTGTTGCCACTTCTAGCCCTTATGTAACCTTCTATCCGCGCTGGCATGCTTCTTATTAAATTATCAACGTTGTCTTGGTTTATGTTTTCCCATTCTGCTAATGCTGCATCAGTAAGCTGTGCGAGATTTCCTGGATTGTTTCGACGAACTCTAACCCTTCTTTTGAGCTGGTCCCAAAAGTGTTCGATAGGGTTTAGATCTGGTAAAAGTGCAGGCCAGTCCAAAACTATGACACCTTCTGTACCAAGACATTTTCTAGTCACTCTGCAGGTATGGGAAAGTTCCAAGTACCTTGCATATGTTTTCGATACAACATCCTGGGTAACCTCTACTATCTCTGCTACGTCTTTTTGGGGCATTTCTTCTTCAATGAGAGCAATAATTTCTTCCCCTCTGTACATCTGTTAATCCAACATAAGGCATTTTTTTATTTATTTGGGTCGAATGAAAATTACCGGACAATCGCGATTTTACTATTGAGCACAAAATTCAAAAGAAAATAAATCGCAGCAATCGTATATTCTTTATTATCATGTTTATTTACAACAAAAAGCCTTATATCTTAAAGTTGTATACCATTTTTTTTTCTTGCAAGAAATTTAGTTAGAAATAAAGAGTGATTCCATATCAGTTTGGTTGTATTTATATTTTTCTATATACAAAATGGTTCCAATATAACACTATTAATAGATTATTTCTTTCCACATATTAAAAATTATTTCAATAAATCAGTTCAAATAAGATTAAATTTGCTAACATCCAGCTTTTCTTTAAACACCCTGTATTTTCTTTACAAGTTCACATTTTTCATCAAATTTGAACATTATAATGCAAGCCTGCTTAACTGCATTGGTGAGTCACTGTATTCCATAAAACTGCGAATACATTATTTAACATCGACATTACACGAAATGTGACACAGATATACAAACAAAAGATCCAAACATCGGCCCAAATGGCATATTAGAACTAAAGAGCGATATATTGTGCTCCAATATCCGATTGTTGTACATCTGTTGAGGCTCGTTTCTGAATTGGGCAGAGCTTCTGTGAAACGGATCGCCATATGCAAGTCGTTATTTTTGGACCGAGGGAGGTGTTCTCTGATAGCTCATTAGAGAGGAAATATTGGGACATTAAAAAAGAAGAGCTACAGGGAAAGTGGATATTTATGTCGGTTAAGGGAGGAAAAGGTGTGGTCGAAGTGTGACCATTAGAGGTTCAGTGATATATGATTTTTTTAATAATATTTCAGATAAGATTAATTTTTCTTACACCATAATGGAAGCATCTTCATCTGTATTTCTTTAAATCTGTTCTTATAGTATACAGGCGAATTCTCGGTACTTCCCGGTTCTGAACCCTAGTTAAAACAAAATATTCCTTATTAAATTCTGGTCGTTATCTCGACAAACGTCAAAACAATCGTTATATCCCCGTCTTCGACGACACATGTTTTACATGTCTCGTAGTTACCTTATCTCAGCTATGCGTCTGTCATCTGTTCCACTGTTTAAACCCAGCCACCTAGCGTTCTAAAATTAAATATACGCTGCAGATACGATCTAAAGTAGATCGGAAAAACTTTTACAACCGCCCCTCCGCGTCCCGGCCGAAGATGTTTGATCTTTTGAGGTTATTAGCGTCAAAAACTCGTCGTAAAATTAACATAATTATGTTCGGCGATGATTATCTGACGGTCGGGGTTCTCTTAAACGTCGAAATAAAGGACGTTTAAAAGGATTTTATTATGCACGGTAAATGAGCGCCGGCAGTCCAGGCTAGACAGGTTGGTTTCCGTAAAAAATTGTGCTCGTTAACGTTTAGTTAGCAATATAATTTTCGAGTTTAGTAGAATTACTAATACAAACAGATGCCTATGATATTAACTGTAATTATGATTAATAATTCTCTATTACACCATCTCTTTGAGATAGATATAGGTATATCTTATGAAC